TGTTGTTGAGAATATACACAGCAATAAAATAATGTATGTCTTAATTTTCTGTTCTGTATATCTCAAAAAACTTTGCTGCTTGTTACCCTATTTTGGGGTCTTGTGATTACAAATTTTGCATAATCTGGAATACTACTTCAGCTATGCAATCTCTACAAAGGGATTGGTCAGGCCCATCCTTTGGACTGGCTGTGAGTTGGTCACGTGATTCTGTTTCTCAATGTCCTCATCACAAAACTGGTGACCCCTGACCTGCCAAACTCAAGGGGCTAAAGTAGGTTCAGATGGAACAGTTGCTGTTGTCAAGTGCCATCAAGTTGGTTCTGCCTATGGAGACCCTAAGTGTAACAGAATGAAACACTGCCTGGTCCTGCTCATCCTCACAATAGTTTCTATGTTTGAGTCACTGTTGCAGACCCCAGGTCAATCCATCTCTTTGTTTCTCATTTTTAGCTGACATTCTACTTTACCTTCTCTTGAGACTGGTCTCTCCTGGGAACAAGTCAGAAGCACATGAAACAAAATCTCACCATTTAGTTGCCCAGGTACATTTTGGCTGTACTTCTTCCAAAACATATTTGTTTCTTCTGCGGGTAGTAAGTTCATTATTCTTTACACTGTGAATGCATCAGTTCTTCAATCTTCTTCAGCCATTGTCTAGCTTTCACATGCACATGAGGTGTCTGAAAATACCACAGCTTGGGCCAGGTGTACCGTGGTCCTCAAAGTAACATCTTTGCTTTTTAACACTTTAAAGAGGGCTTTTGCAGCACAATTGTCCAATATAATGCATCGCTTGACTTCTTGACTGCTGCTTTATGGGTATTGATTGTGGATACAAGTAAATGAGATACCTAACAACTTCAATATTTTCTCCATTTGTCATGGTGTTTGTTGTTTATTGGCCCAGTTGTGAGGATTTTTGTTTTCTTTATGTTGAGGAGTAATCCATACTGAAAACTGTAGTATTTGATCTTCATCAGTAAGTACTTCAACTCCTCTTCATTTTCAGCAAGCAAGATTGCGTTATCGGCATATCCTACAGGTTACTAATGAATCTTCCTCTAAGACAAATTTTTCTTTCTCTAGTACAGCTTCTTGCGATTACATGCACAGCATACAGATTGACTTTAAACTTCACAGTATCCCCTTGTTCTGGTTGAGCGACTACCCCTTGGTCTATGTACAAGTTCTATGGGAGTGTAATTGGGTGTTCTGGAATCTCCATTCCTTGCAATGTTATCCACAGATTGTCATGCTCCACATAGTTGAATGTCTTTGCATAGCCAATAAGAAGCAGGTCAACATCTTTCTGGTAGTCTCTGCTTTCCATCAAGATCTATCTTTTATTAGCAATAATGTCCCTTACTTCATGTCATCTTCTGAATCTGGCTTAAATTTCAGACAATTCCCTGTCAATGGTCTGCTACAATCAATTTTTAACATCTGTAAAACTCTACTTGTGTGTAGTATTATTGATGTTGTTATGTTGTTAAGTGTTGTTGAGTTAGTCCCGACTCATAGTGACCCTGTATAGGGTTTCTGAGGAGTGACTGGTGAGCTTGGGCCACCTACCTTGCAGTTCACACTGACCTTGTAGTTGTGTGCTTATCCTACAGCGCCACCTAATTTCTACATTCTGTTGAATCATATTTCTTTGGAACGGGCACAAATATGGATCTCTTCCAGCTGGTTGGTCAGGTAGCCGTTTTCCAAGTTTCTTGGTGTAGAGAAGTGAGTTGTTCTAGCACTGCAGCCATTTGGTGAAACATCTTAGCTGCATATTGGACTTCTTCTTTCAGTACCATAAGTTCTTGATCATATTCCACCTCCTGAAATGGCTGAATGTCAACCAAATCTTCTTGGTAAAGTGACTCTGTGCATTCCTTCCATCTTCCTTTGATGCCTCGTGTATGGTTTAATGTCTTACCCATTGTTGTTGTCGTTCAGTGCTGTTGAGTCAGTTCCAACCCATAGGGTTTCCGAGGAGCAGTTGGTGAGCTTGAACTGCCAACCTTGTGGTTCAAACCGACTTTGCAGTCGAGCGCAATTAACCCCCAGCGCCAAAACAGGACTCCATTTTGCCCATAGAATCCTTCAATATTTCAACTTGAGGCTTGAATTTTTTCTTTAGTTCTTTCAGCTTGAGAAATGCTGAGTGTGTTCTTCCCTTCTGATTTTCAAACTCCTTGTCTTTGTACATTTCATTATAATATGAGGATAAGTGAGAAAAAAATTGCTGCTGGGGTTCCCGTTCATACGTGCACTATTTTATCCCTATCAACAATGATTTTAAACCTGCCTCTGTGATCAGTGGGTGGCTGCAGACAAATTCTTGTAGTCATCCACCTGTCATAGTCTTGTTAAGGTGCCTTCAAAACAAAGGTCCAATCAAATACTGGCTTCTGAGGGGATACACTTGGCCAATTAAATTCAAGGTCGAGAGGTCAGCTCAGGAAGATCTGAAGATTGTTTTCTGAGGACTCCAAACGGGTAATCTTGACAGATTTTCTCAAAGGACACAGGAAGATCGTGCTTCTCATGAAAATTTAAGAAAACGGAAAACTGCACTAATGAGAAAAGGGTCAGCAAAGTTGTAGCAACGATTTTTTTTCCATCACAACAATACACTTGCTCATTCTTTGAGTGTGGCCAGAGCTACCCTACAGGAATTTCAGTAGGAATCCTTAACCCATCCACTCTACTGCCCAGATCTGGCTCTTTAAAACTTTTTTTTTTTGTTCCCCAAGCTCAAAGAACATTTCAAAGAACACAATTTGAGTCCTAGGAGGGTGCCCAAACAGCCATTTTGATGTGATCTAACTCGAAGAGCACAGAGTTCTTCGGGGAAGGGTTCAGTGAAGTGAAAGTGTATAGACTTTGATTGAGAATATGTAAAGAAACAGCCTCACATTTTGATATTTTTGTTTAATAAAGTTTTGTCTGTGATTTTGTAGTAAGAATGCTTGATCTACCCTCGTACTTTACTTTGTATTCTGAAGCTGCCCCTTTGAAATCTTCAATTCAGATTTTTTATGTGTATAGTCGCTGTTAATTTTGCTGTTGTGTGCCATCTGTTCGTTTTGGTTACTCTAAATCTTAGAGCAAGTTTCAGAGTATCTTTTGACATTCATTCTGGTCTTTTCTTTCTTACCTTTTTAAATGATCTTTTGCTCTCTTTCTTTTTTCTTTATTCTTATTGACTGATAAGAAGGAATGCAAAAAATGAATAATTCTATTAGAACGATAGACTTAGGGTTTTATCTTTCAAAATATTTTTTGCTAATATATTGATATTAAAATTAATTTTGACACAGAAATGGAAGCTTTTTTTTCCATGTGTCATGTGGCGCTGTGGGCTCATGCGTCAGACTGCAAAGTCATTTGAACTGCAAGGTCGGTGGCTCAAGCTCACCAGTAGCTCCTTGGAAACCTTATACAGAGTTGCTATGGGTTGGAATTGACAGAAAATAATGTCATTATAGCAGAAAATGTCATTCTGTTATGTTTTAGGCTATTCCTTTGTCTATAAAAAGTTTAGCTATTGTTTGACAGGGTGTAACAGAATTTCGTTGTTTCAAACTGCCAGTGACTACTGCTTTCAGAATAGCTGTACACCCCTGGGAGTAGAAATCCACCACACACGCTTGTGTGTCTCAAGCACTTGTACCAACTTCCTCGGGATATTTGGTCAAATCATCCATTCAGTCACTCTCTGGTTTTGTCCACTGAACTAGGAAAGCACAGTACTGATCGTATCGTCGACCATTTACTTTTTTCATGCTGTCAACCTACAACTCACTTGGTCTTCAGTCTTACCCATTGTTGTTGGTCATTCATTTTCAAGGTGTCAAATCTACTCTTGAAATAGTCTCTAAATTCAGGTAGCACACAGTAGGTTGTACTTTGGTCTCATGGACTTGTTTTAATTTTCTCCAGCGTCAGCTTAACCTTGCATATGAGCAACTGATGGTTTGTTCTGCAGGTGGCTCCAAGTCTTGTTCTGACTGATGACATTTTATCATCTATTTCCACAGATGTAGTCAATTTGCTTCTTGTCTATTCCAGCCAGAAAGGTCCATGTGTATAGTCCCTGTTAATGTTGTTGAACAAAGATTATCCAATTCTATCGTGCAATCTCTGTCATGGTTCCTATTATTACCAAGGTCATTCCTCCCAATAACTGATCCTTCTTCTTTTTTTTCCAATTTTTGCATGCCAATCAGCAGTAAGTATCAGTGCATCTTGACTGTATGTTTGATCAATTGAGGACCACAAAAGGTGGTAAAAATCTTCAATTTCTTCACCTTTGGCATTAGCGGTTGGTGAGTAAATTTGAATAATAGTCACATTAACTAGTCTTCCTTGCAAACATATGGATATTGGCCTATCACTGACAGCGTTGTACTTCAGGATAAACTTTGGAATGCTCTTTTTGAGGATGAATGCAACTGTATCTCCTATGAGGACCTAGGAAGAGCTCTGTAAATGCTGATTTGCAGTTCATACATAATGTAGGATTACTACTAATGTATCAATTTGATTTCTGAAGCTCAAGTGCTCTTCAAGGGTAGAATCTGCACACCCTTATTCTTACTGTATCCTGCCTTGTATCAGAGCCATAATGATATTAGTTAGATTCATATGTTGGTTTAATACATAAAACTCCAACACCCATGTGAAAAACACATCCTAACATTTTACAGTTTCTTTCCTAAAGAAACATATTCTGAGGTGAAGGAATTTGAAACTATTTTTGAGAAAACTAAAATAGTCATTAAGAAGGTACTACATTTAAAACGGAGTCCTGGTGTGGTGCTGTGGGTTAATGCCCAGACTGCAATGCCATTTGAACTGCAAGGTCAGCGGTTCAAGCTCACCAGCTGCTCCTTAGAAACCCTATCTATACAGGGTCGCTATGGGTCGGAGCTGACTCGATAGCACTTAGCAACAACAACAACAGAACTTAAAACAACAACAAAAAATCTTATTTTACTTACTTTGCTGAGGGCTGTAGCAACACTCCATCCTTGGTCCACGTATATGTGGTCTCACTGGGGGTTAGGAGGTCACACAGTATGTTGATGACCTCAGTCCTGTTTGTAATGTATACTGTATTTCCAATCCTTGAATGTATCGTTTGATTAAATGAAACTTCAGGGGCCTGACCTTGTCTCCTGAGAACAGGTGCCTTTGGATTGAATGTCAGCCTGCCTGAGTTCTTTGCATTTGTGTTTTGAAGCACACTTCCTGTATCCCCTCTGAGCTGAGCCGAGGGAGGCACCTCGCCCTGAGTGTTCCTCCATTGCATGTGAGTGGGCTGTGCCTTAGCTAACTCCGCCACCAGCTGATAGATCAGTTGGGATGCAAGGTCATCACTGACCTCTCCCGTGTCCATGAGCTGACTCATGTTTCTTATTAGCTCTTCAAACTGGGCTGTGTCCATGCTGTAGGCTCCCTGTTTAACTGCAGCTTCGAAAGGCTTGCTCTTCAACTCCCAGGAGTTGGAATTTCCTGCGGAATTGCTGCAACGGTCCAAGAGAGCTCTCAAGAAAGGCTGGTTATTAATTTGGCCATCATCCAGATAAAGCTCATTTTTGTTCCTCCACATTTGTCGCATTTTATGCCCCGTGGCTCCCAAACCACCGTCTTGGTTGTGGTCTATCCCAGGATACCCTCTCCTGTGGTCTCTGAGGGCTGGGGGTGCAATGAGTCGGTTGTCGGTACCAATGAGCTTGAGAATAACTGTTTCCTGAGCAGCACCTGCAATGCACCGGTACACGCCAATGTCGGGGGCAGCAAGACTGTGAATTTTGAGGGAGCCTGACTTGGTGATGCCCAGTCTTTTGGAGTTCTGCAAACAATGGCCGTCTTTCTCCCACTGGATCATAGACTTTTGGAATCGTCGCACTGGGCATTTAATAATCACTGATGTGTTGGGCAGCAAATAGGCTCTACTACCAATGGTCAGGTTAATGCGCTTCTCTTCCCTCGTCTGAATGTAGACTCTCTGGACACCGAGGATCTGAGGACCCGGATCCCCTAGTTTTGTTTTCATCTCTGCAGGAAAACAACAAAGAAACACATACCTCAACAATAAACACTTTCTGACAGTAATAGTCCAAGCATGATACAAGTCAACCATGTCTCTCTTAAAATGTTGGAGAATTAGAATCTTAGTAACAGTATCTATCCAAATGGCCAAAATGACTGCCACCAACTGAGTCGATTCCAACTCACAGAGACTCTACAGGACAGAGTACAATAGCTCCCTAGCCTTTCCAAGGCTATAAATGTTTACGGAAGCAGACTGGCTCACTGTCCTCCAGTGGAGCTGCAGATGGGTTCGAACCACTGACTTTCAGTGTTCAACTGAGCCCTCAACCACCAGGGCTACTTGCATACATATATCCTTGTATGTATGCAAAATCTCACAACCATCTATTACTTTAGCAGCAAAAAATGCAAGTTTGTTTGAGTTGTAGAAAAATATGTCAATTTTAAGTTGAACAGTCCAGTGAAATAGTGTTGCTGTTGTTGTTGAGTGCCATCAAGTTGACATCAACTCATAGTGACCCTATGCACAACAGGTTGACACACTGTCCGGTCCTGTGCCAACCTCACCATTATTGCTATGCCTGAGTCTAGGAATTGTTACTTCTAATTTGGGGATGGATATTTACTCTCTGCTGTGATCATATGATGTCTTCATAGTTACTCAGCTTCTAGATATGTGGTTTCATCAGTAAGAGTTTGGTCAGTTATGTTGGGTCACTGCCATTTAGCAGGGAGGCCCTAAGTGAGCGAGTCTGGTTTGCAGCCCAGAGGACATCAATTATGGGGGAGGAAATGAGGATGGAACATGAGTGAAAGAGGTTGGCAAACTTCAGGTATAGCAGGGTGAGAGCTCAAGGACACAAGGAGGATCATCAAAGGAGGAAGTCTGTATAAGGGCGGTAAGCCACAAGAATCTGAGTTTGAATCTTAGCTCTATCACTTGGACAAATCATGCAATCTGCTTGAACTTCACTAGTAAAATGTGGGTGATGTTAGTACTTACATCAGAGGAGTGTGACAATGAACTGTAACCATTTATATCAACTATATGCTCAGTACTGGGCATATAGTACGTTTGTGGAAAACGGAATTGAAAGTGTATTTTTTCCATGAACTTTTTGAAGTCCCCTCATATATGACCCCACCCCTTGTCTTATCAGTTTGTCATACTGTGGTGTCGTGCATGTTGCTGTAATGCTGGAAGCTATGCCCCCAGTATTCGAAATGCCAGCAGGGTCACTCATGGTAGAGAGGTTTCTGCTGAGTTTCCAGATTAAGACAAAGTAGGAAGAAGGAGAGGCAGACTAGTTTTCATTGTTTAGCCACTGAAAACCTTATGAATAGCAGTGGAACACTGACAGATACCATGCCAGAATATGAAAACATTATGAATAGTAGCAGAATATTGTCAGATACAGTGCCAGGAGATGAGCCCCTCAGGTTGAAAGGCACTCAAAATATGACTGGGGAGGAGCAGCCAAACTAGAGTTGACTGTGATGATATGAATAGAGAAAAGCTTTGGGAACCTTCGTTTGCTGATGAGGCACAACTCAAAATGAAGAGAAACAGCTGCAAACTTCCATTATTAATCAAAACATGGAATGTATGAAGTCTGAATTTTGGAAAATTGGCAATTGTCAAAAATGAAATGGAACACTCAAAGATCGGTATCGTACACTTGAGTGAGCTGAAATGGACTGGTGTTTGCCATTTTGAATCTGACAATCATATGGTTTACTATGCTGGGAATGACAATTTCAAGAGCCATGGTGTTGCATTCATTGTCAAAAGAACATTTCAATACCTATCTTGAAGTACAACATTTTCTGTGATAGGATAATATGTCTACAAGGAAGACCAGTTAATACCACTATTATTCACATTTAAGCACCAACTACTAAAGCCAGTGAGGATGAAATTGAAGAATCCTACTAACTTCTTCAGTCTGAAATTGATTAAAAAATGCAATCAAGATGTATTGATAATTACTGGTGATTGGAATTAAAACATTAGAAACAATGAGGAAGGATCAGTAGTTGGAAAATATGACCTTGGTGACAGAAATGATGCTGGAGATTGTGTGATAGAATTTTATAAGTCCAATGACGTCTTCATTGCAAATAACTTTTTAAAACAACATAAAAGACAGCTATATACATGTACCTTATTAGATGAAATATACAGGAATCAAACTGACTACATCTGTGGGAAGAGACGGTGAAAAAGCTTCATATCATCTGTTGAATCAAGGCAAACGCAGTCTGTGGAACAGAATATCTGTTGTTCATATGCAAGTTCAGGCTGATGCTGAAGAAAATTAAAATAAGTCCACAAGAGCCAAAATATGACCTTGAATATATCCCATCTAATTTAGTGACCATCTCAAGGACAGATTTGGTGCATTAGATACTAATTAGCAAAGACCAGAAAAGCTGTGGGGTGACATCAAGAACATCATACAGGAAGAAAACAAAATGTCATTAAAAAGACAGGAAAGAAAGAAAAGACCAAAATGGATGTCAGAAGAGACTACAAAATTTGCTCTTCAAGCGTACAGATGCTAAAACAAATGGAGTAAATGAGGAAATTAAAGAGCTGAACAGCAAATTCCAAAGGGCAGTTTGAGAAGACAAAGTATTCTAATGAAGTAGGCAAAGACCTAGGATTAGAAAACTAAAAGGGAAGCACACGTTCAGCATTTCTCAAGCCGAAAGAACTGAAGAAAAAAATCACGCCTTGGCTTGAAATATTGAAGGATTTGGTGGGAAAATACTGAATGATGCAGAAAGCATCAAAAGAAGATGGGGTATCCATAGTCACTGTACTGAAAATAAATGATCGATGCTTAACCATTTCCAAAGGGAGCATATGATCAAGAACCAATGGAACTAAAGGAAGAAGGCCAAGCACTGGTGAAAAGCAAGGCTCCAGGAATTGACGAAATACAAACTGAAATCTTTGAACACACTGATTCAGCACTGGAGGTCCTCACTCATCTATAGCAAGAAATCTGGAAGACAATTACTTTGCCAATTTATTGGAAGAGGGCCATTATTTGTGCCCATTCCAAAGAGTTGTTGTTGTTGTTGTCAGGTGCCATCGAGTCTGAACCAACTCATAGCAACCCCATGCACAGCAGAACGAAACAATGTCTGATCCTGGGCCAACCCCACCACCGCTGCCACACTTGATGCCATCAATGATGCCACGTGGCCGATCCATCTCGTTGGGGATATTCCATTTTTCTCTGACCCTCCGTCTTACCCAGCATGACATCCAAAGAGAGGTGGCCCAATAGAAGGCAGAAATCATTGAACAATATCATTACTATCACACGCTAGTAAAATTTTTCTGAAGATAATTCAAAATCGAATGCAACAATACATTGACAAAGAACTGCTTGAAATTCAAGCCAGACTTAGAAGAGGATGTCAAACTAGGGATATCATTGCTGACCTTAGAAGGTTCTTAACTGAAAGCCAAGAATACCAGAAAGATGTATATTTGTGCTTTATTGAGTGTGCAAAGTCTTCGACTGTATGGATCATGACAAGCAAAGAATAGGTATTCCACAATACTTAATTGTGCTCATGAGGAACCTGTATATTGACCAAGAGGCAGTTGTTCTAACAGAACAAGGGGATACCGAGTGGTTTAAAATCACGAAACGTGTGTGTCAGAGTTGTATTCTTTCACCATAATTATTCAATCTGTAGGCTGAGCAAATAATCCAAGAAGCTGGATTATAGGAGGAAGAATGTGGCATCAGGATTGGAGGCAGACTCATCAAGAACCATTGATATGCAGATGATACAACCTTGCTTACTGAAGGGAAGAGGACCTAAAATACTTACTGATGAAGATCAAAGACTATAGCCTTCAGTATGGATTGCATCTCAATGGAAAGAAAAGAAAAATCCTCACCACTGGACCAATAAATAACATCATGATAACTAGAGAAAAAGATGAAAGTCATGAGTGCCTTTACTTTGCTGGATCCACAATCTACACTCAAGGAAGCAGCTGTACAGAAAGTAAATGATATACTGCATTAGGCAAATCTGCTGCACAAGCCCTCTTTACAGTGTTCAAGAGCACAGGATCATTTTGAGGACTAGGGTGCGCCTGACCCTAACCACAGTTATTTTCAGTTACCTCATAAGCTTGTGAATATTGGACAATGAATAAGGTAGATCATATTTTACTGGGAATAATGGATTGACTTCTTACCTAGTGAATGTGTCATCAGCTAGGTTGTCTGTTTCAAGATGGCTCGAATGTGAGCCAGATTTGTGGCCACATATAAAGAGGAAAGTGAAATTTAGGAGATGATCTCACATTAGCCTGTTTTGTTTGTTTTCCTTTCAAATTTCTTACCTGATTTTAATTTATTTTATCTGGTTGCATTTATGGATACCTAGAAGTGGCCTGTAGTTTTTGTAACAAGGCAGGATTGTTGTTGTTGTTGTTGTTAGGTGCCATTGAATCAGTATCGACACGTAGCGGACTTATGCACAACAGAACGAAACACCGCCCAGTCCTGGGCCAACCTCACAATTGTTGCCATGCTTGAGCCCATTGATGCTGCCATATTGCCAATCCATCTCACTGGGGGTCTTCTTCTTTTTCTCTGACCCTCCACCTTAGCAAACATGATATCCTTCTCCAGTGACTGGTCCCTCCTGACAATATGTCTGAAGTATGAGAGACGAAGTTTGGCCATCCTGGCTTCCAAGGAGCACTCTGGCTGCACTTCTTCCAACACAGATCTGTTGGTACTTTTGGCAGTCCATGGCACTTTCCATATTCTTCTCCAACACCATAACTCCAAAGCACCAATTCTTCTATGGTCTTCCTTATTCACTGTCCAGCTTTCATACGCATATGGGATTATTGAAAATACCATGGCTTGAGGTGATTGAGAATGCCATGGCTTTAGTCCTCAAGCTGACATCTTTGCTCTTCAACACTGTAAGAAGGTCTTGTGCAGTAGGATATGTACAGGTATATGTGTACGTATGTATATACGGCCACACACACATTTCTACACGTACACTGCCAGTCGTGATGTATAACTGAACCAAAGGCTGCCCAGTCATGTGTCATCCTCACAGTGGCTGAGGATGTTGCAGTCATTGCAGTCATTGCAGAGTGTCTTCCAACCTCATCTCCCCCCATCACAATGGGCAGCATTCTGTTTTGATCCATCCAGTTTGGAAGTAAATTGTCTGACTTTCCTTACTAGCCTGTTTTAGCCTGTACATATGCACATACGTATTATGATTATTAATCGCTACCAATGGTTTAAAGGATCCAGTTGAACACCTTAACTGGTTGTTGCTGTCTTGGTGGTGGACAATAAAAAAGATGGGTAGATGTGATTCCGGATGACTTTGAAACACCCTCTTCAACAACACAATCCAAACTGGGTCAAGTCAGACTTTGGACTTCACGCAGCTGAGTAATTTGTAGAGAAAGACTCCATCACGTAGCAGTAGCTGCTAAGGGTGGACGTAGTTTGAAAGCTCTTGACTCACTGGGCTGGCATAGAAGCCCACGTGGGCAATGAGGCACAGTTGCCTAGCTGAATGGTCCAGGTTGGGGATGCATGGATGCTGGCACCTTACCCACAAAGCATCATATTGGCACCAAATCTAGAGAAGGGTTCTAATTACCTTCAAGTTCCCTGGTAGACTGACAGCCCTCACATGAGCATGAAGCTCAGAGCAGATGGAGCCTGATGGTTCACAGGATTAGGCAGGCTGTCTCCTTGCTTGCTTGTAGCCTGCTGTACCCCAGTCATATCCCTGCCATGAGCTTTACAAGGCAGGCTGTGGAGTGGCAGGTGCTTGGCCAAGTTCAGTCTTGGTGGAGAACCCTGCTCCAAGTGGTGGGTGAGCTCCCTTCAAGCCCAGCTGCTCCCTCTGGTAACATGTCCATTGGTTGGAAGGCAGGCCCCGTAAGCCCAGCTGGCCCCCTTTCCAGCCCTGCTTAAGCAATTATTCGATCTAGGGTCCAGAGTAGTTCTGTGAGCAGGTGTGCCTGGGTGCTTAGCTGGGCTTCCAGCCAGAGGTAGAACTGCATGAGTGTTGCCAACCTCCACAGCTTGGACCAATTCCTCTCTTGGGACTCCCATGAGCTCCTTTGGAGTGAGGCCTGGAACATGGCGTCATCACAATTCTTGGGCAAGAAACTGGTCTGGTTTTGGTGACTGCCTCTCCCTGCATCTGCAGATGCCCACCAAATGCAACACTGACCTAGCGTGATGAGCATCATCCACTCTGCAGAATGGCCGGGCAACCGGAGGGGCTGCTAAACTTTGCCAGGGGACCAACCCACTTCTCCATTCCCCTAACTGCTGGATGTCAGAAATGCCACGTGTTTGACTTTTCTAGAAAATCAAAATGTTCTTTCTTATGTATGTTCTCCTGCTAGGTTTTTGTGGCCGTCTACCACATCCAATCAAGCCCAGCTCTAGGCGCCCTGGGGATGTTTACAAGCAATTGCCTCTGCTGGCTTCTTGCTTCCTTTTGTCCTGACTTTACTCCGGTCAAATCCCTGCCATGACTTTGAGTGTTGGTGCGAAGCCTGGTTCCTGCCCTCACCATCTGGTCTCGCTAACATTTGACTCCTGTCACTCTCTAATGGGCTCTGGATGCAACACAGCCTCGAAGGCTTCCTATTACTTTGCTGGAACCCTGGACTCTTCAGAATCCAGTCCTGAATTAGACTGCCTGGCCAGAGCTTCACTATGGTTTCCACTGACTGGAAGATGTGACAAGCTCATCCGAAGTTGCATCAAGAACCTGGACACATTTTCTGGACTATCTTCAGGTTTCTCCAAGGGCAGGAACACAGGAGGTTCAAAGGGGGCTGCAAAGGGTGCTGTGGGTGGTGGTTATGTGCTGTAGAGTCAGTTCCGACTCATAGTGACCCTACATAGGATTTCTGAGGCTGTAAATCTTTACAGGAGCAGAAAACCTCATCTTTCTCCTGAAGAACAGCTGGTAGTTTTGAACTGCTGACCTTGAGGTTTGCAGCCCGATTCATAACCACTACGCTACCAGAGTGCTGTGGGTAGGACTTGCTAAAGAAGTCATGGAGGCCTCTGCATCCCCATGGATGATTGATTGGCTTTGATCATGGATAATTGTAAGATCAGCCTGAAAGAATAGGTTCCATTTCCCTGCTTCTTTTGTACTTTTCACTCAAAAATAGTCTGGTTTCTGCTCACACAATCCCCATTGTAAGTTTCCTGGGCAAGTCCACCAATGGCCTTGTAATTGACAAATCCATTGCTCTCCCAGTATTCAAGGACTTGATCATTCTGTGGCATGTTATTGTTGTTAAGACACGTTGGTTCCAACTCATAGTGACCCTGTATAGGGTTTCCAAAGAGTGGGTGGTGGGTTTGAACACTGATTAGCAGTCGAGTGCTTATCCTACAGCACCACATCAGAACTCTATTCTGTGACAGATGACACCCTTAATCACTTGCTTCATGCTGAAATCTCTCATCCACCCATCTTTTCTATTATCCACAATCGGGATAGCAATGATCCAACAAGGTGTTCAAATGGATCCATTTAATAAGTTGTGGTGGTGATGGCTATGTGCCACTGAGTCAGTTCCAACTCACTGCAACTTTGTATAGGGTTTTCAAGGCGTAAATCTTCACGGGAGCAGAAAGCCTCAGCTTTCTCCCACAGAGGGACTGGTAGAGTAGAGCTACTGACCATGTGGTTATCAGCCCAGCTCTTAATCGACTATGTTACCAGGGCTCCTTCTTTTAAAGAATAGTTGTTGTTGTTGTCGTTAAGTGCCGTCAAGTCGGTTCCGACCCATAGTGATCATGAACAGGGTTTACGAGGCTATAAATCTTGATGGGAGCAGAAAGCCTCATCTTTCTCCCGCGGAACAGCTGGTAGTTTCGAACTGCTGACCTTGAGGCTCACAGCCCGATTTGTAACCACTATGCTACCAGAGCTCCATTTAAATAATAGTAGTGGTAAGGTTTTCCCGTCTTTCTTCTGGCCCTTTCCTACTGCTCTGTTCCTTTCCACTTCCTTTGCTGGTTCCTCTTTCACTGGCACCTTTAGTGGTGCGACTCTGCAAGCCCTACCTTTTTCTCTTCTTGCTCTATACTTTCCTTTGGAGAGTTTCGTAGCTTTAACTAATGACTATACATTGATGCCTCCCAATTTTAGTTTGGAGCTGTAGGGTAAACACTGGACTGCTCCTTGGAAACCCTAAACAGGGTTGCTATGAGTCAGAACTAACTTGAATTGTTTTAACAATAACAACAGCCTGGATCTCTCTGTGGAGGTGCAGCCTCATTGCGCATTGCTTCCTAGAAATCTCTTCCTGGTGCCTTCAGTTTGAAGTATCATAATCTAACCATGTGATCTCTGCCCCCGATCGCATCCCTAAGTTAATGACATCATCTTCCACCCAGTTTCTCAAGTCAGAATTTCAAACTTCTCAAGTCATCCTCGATTCCTCTCTCCAGTGGCGTGGTAACTCTAGTTCTCAATAATTCATAAGTCAGCGAGATTGCAGCAACTATTCCCAACTCTGCATTCAATGATGTCACACTGATAGCTGGAAACTGGCCACGGTGGGAGTATCTACACACGGAAATTGGCAGACACTACAAAGGCGAGCTCTCCACTCCCTACCTACAGCTGGTTGTTAAACATCTACAAGTGCACCACTGTCTCTGTCATTTAGCTTTGGACTCTTGTCAGGCACCAAGTACTTAGATTATACATCTGAAGCATTGTTAGAATTCACCTCCAGTATTTCTACCTTAATGCTTTGTTGTTGTAAGGGCCGCTGAATTGGTTCCAAGTTGTTTAAACCCTTGGTTCCAATTTGTTAAACCCTGTTTAGGGTTTCCAAGGAGCAGCTGGTGGGTTTGACTTTGTGGTTCACAATCCAGTCCTGACCCTATAAAGTCTAGTGCTTTGTCACCTAGCTATCCCTAAACTAGACTCCCTTCCTACAAACAAGTGATCTCTGATCCCATCACATTTCAATTAGCCTCTTCCTGTATTCTCCAGACAAGGTCTCCTGTAGTCGGGACCAACTCGACGGCACGTAGCAATAGCAACAACCTTTGTCCATGTCCTGGTGTGGTGTTGTAGGATAAGCACTTGGCTACTTACCACAAGGTCAGTGGTTCAAATCCAGTAGTCACTCATCGGAAATCCTATACAGGGTCACCATGAGTTGGAACCAACTCCATGGCACTTAACAATAACACCAAAGATTCCTTTCCTGCAGTCTCACAGTTATCCAATGTATTTTATTCGTTGTCAGAGTAAATGAACTAAAAGAAACTATGACCAGGGCATTTCTTTCTTGGATAAAAATCAAAACTACTTAACATGAAGTTCAAGCTAACTACTCAAACTTTCTTTTTTGCCACAACTCATCTTGAATCTATGTTCTAGTACCATAGAATTTCTTACAGTTTACCTGAACACAGTGCTCCATTTCACACCCACCAGCTGCTCCACAGGAGAAAGATGAGGCTTTCTGCTCCCCTGGAGATTTGTTGTTGTTGTTGTTATGTACTGTGGAGTCAGTTCTGACTCATAGTGACCCTGTACAGAGTTTCTGAGGCTGTAAATCTTTACGGGAGCAGAAAGCCTCATCTTTCTCCCACAGAACAGCTGGTAGTTTCAAACTGCTGACCGTGAGATTAGCAGCCCGATTCGTAACCACTATGCTACCAGAGCTCCTTCTGCAGAGATTTACAGCCTCGGAAATCCTATATAAAGTTGCTGTGAGTTGGAACCAACTCAACGGCACTTAACAACAACCGCCACCTTGCCCATGCTGAACTCTTTCCTTGGATCCTCCTGGATCTTTCCTTATGACCAAACACTCATCTGTCAGAACTCTGCTCAAGAGTCTGTTCCTTCATGGAAAGCTCCCTGACCTCTCCCTACCGAGCAGATTCCTGCAACCTATTACGGCAGCCACTGAACTTGACTGTTCCGATGTGTTTTACACAGACTTCTCCCCAACTGGATTACTAGCTCTTTGAAAGAAGAGAATATATGCCTTGCGTTTTTATTGTAATTCTAAAAGACAGTAGCATTTGATGAATGATTGCTAACAGATTAGTAAAGAAATGGCTATCATCCAGCATTGAAACCAGGCAGAAAGATGATTTCTCTGTACTTAGCACAATGCCCGGCACATAATAGATTCTTATTGTTTGTTGAATGAATAAACGACTGAACGATTGAGTAATGGAAAAAGTAACATGAGCATGTCCTGAGATACTCTATGAGGTGGCCTAAATACAAGAGAGATGCTGGCAAGGTAATCCTCCAAGGCCTGCAGCCATGTCAGGAAGGGATGAGTGTTACTGGAAGCTTCCAGAACCTGAGAAGGCCTGCTGTTGTGTTGTTATTAAGTGCTGTGGAGTCCCTTCTGACTCACAGTGACCCTGCATAGGGTTTCCAAGGCTGTACATCTTTACTGGAGCAGAAAGCCTCATCTTTCTCCCATGAAACAGCTGGTAGTTTCCAACTACTGACCTTGAGTTTAGCAGCCTGATTCATAACCACTATGCACGAGGCATTCTCCTCCCGTAAAGATTTACAGCCTCAGAAACTCTGTGCAGGGTTGTTATGAGTCAGAACCGACTCCACGGCACACCATCATCACCACCACGTCTATGGGTATAATTTATTCTGATAAATTTGGGGGGTGCTTTTTGTATTCTATATGGAAAAACAAATCCTATCAGTTTCTTATACCTCGTGTAAGAAGGTGCTGCAGGTTAAGCACTGGACTGCTAACTGAAAGGTTAAGATTGGCACTTCAAACCCACCAACTGCTCCTCGGAAACCCTCTACAAGGTCGCTATGAGTGAGAACTGACTCAACGGCATTTAACAACAACTACACAGGTCACTTTATAGAGGACCTTGGAGGGGGTAATGACACTAAAAAGATTAACATGTATTGAGAACTTAGTACGTGGCTGGATTATTTTTAAGAACTTTAATTAATTCATGATCCTCAAAACAATCCTATTTCTTGATATTTCAAATCATGCTTGATTGGAATACCAATCGTATTGTTAGGAAGGTACAATTACCATTCTCACTTCACAGATGAGAAAAGACTCTCAGAGATAAAATGTCACATGTGAGTTCCTAGAAGAATTGGCGTCTGAATTAAGGTAAACATAATAGTATGGCGCTGGTAGCATAGTGGTTACGAATTGGGCTGCTAACCTCAAGGTCAGCAGTTCAAAACTATCAGCTGTTCCACGGGAGAAAGATGAGGCTTTCTGCTCCCGTAAAGATTTACAGCTTCGGAAACCCTGTGCAGGGTCACTGAGTCAGAACCGACTCTAGGGTACTTAACAACAACAACAGTGTGGCGCTGGAGTCTTGGTGTGGTGCAGTGGGTTAATGCTCTGGACTGCAAAGTTGATTTGAACCACAAGGTTAGCAGTTCAAGCTCATCCTTAACTCCTTGGAAATCCTATGCAAGCTTGCTATGGGTTGGAACTGACTCGATGGCACGTTACAAAAGCAACAAAAAAAGTGTGGTGCTGTAGGATAAACACGGGTCTGCTAACCACAGGTTGGCAGTTCCAACCCATCAATCACTCCTTGGAAATACTGTACAGGGTCGCTATGAATAGGAACCATTCAAAGGCACTGAACAATAGCATTAAACAACAACCGCATTAAAGACAGTGCCCTTAACAATGCCATGTTACCTTTCAGAAATGAAATGCAATTGAGGAAGCTTATTGTGAATTGAGGATTGAAAGAACTTCAGTCACTAGATAAGGCAGAGAGAAGATGCTGCAAGGGGTAAATGCGTGAGGTGAGAGGGCTGGAAGTGTTTGGGGACAAGCAGGCTGAGGGAACAGATACACCGCTGTCCTCTTGTCATTGTTAAGTGCCATCAAGTCGGTTTCGACATATAGAGACCCTGTATAGGGTTTCCAAAAGGAGCTCTGGAAGTGTAGTGGTTACAAGTTGGGCTGCTAAGCTCAAGGTCAGCATTTCGAAACTAGCAGTGGTTCCATGGGAGAAAGATGAGGCTCTCTGCACCCATAAAGATTTACAGCCTTAGAAACCCTCTACAGAGTCACTACGGGTCAGAACCAATGAGACGTCACTTAACAACAACATTTCCAAGGACTGACTGATGAGTTTGAACCGTCAACCTTGTGGTTCAAACCAACCTTGTGGTCCAATGTTTTATTCCACAGTGCTATGAAGAGCAACAAAATTCACCCTTTTAGAGAGGAAAGAGCTCTGGTAGTTTAGTGATCATAAATCGGGCTGTTAGCCTCAAAGTCAGAAGTTCAAAACTACCAGCTGTTCCGTGGGAGAAAGATGAGGCTTTTTGCTCCTGTAAACATTTACAGCTTCACAAATCCTGTACAGCATCGCTGTGAGTCGGAACCGACTCCAGGACACACAACCACCAACAACAACCAAAGAGGATGGCACTGTAGAAGTACCAGACCACAAGGTCAGTTTGAACTGCAAGGTCAACAGTTCAAATCCACTAGCCACTCCTCAGAAACCCTATGCGGGGTTGCTATGAGTCGGAACCAACTCGACAGCCCTAAACAACAAAGAAAGCGGGTAGTTCTGGTGCGGCACTGTAGGATAAGCACTGGACTGATAATCACAAGGTCAGAGGTTCAAACCCACCAACCACTCCTTGGAAACCCTATACAGGTTCACTATGGGTTGTACTTACACCTAACATCACTGAGAAGGACGCACTTTTTACAAGTGAAGCCTTTTGAAAGGGAATAAAGATGACAGCATAGTGGGGCTTGTTGCTCCTTGTCTTCTGATCTCTTCCACATGGAAAGGGTGGGTTTACACAGAAGACAATGCGTTTCCAGTCTGGGAGTGGGTAAACAGGGACAACTGGAGGTGAAGGAGAGAGAAAACTCAGAAGGACACTGAAATTACTAGTGGAGTAGAAGGTCCTCAGAATAGAGACGAGAACTTGAGGTTAGTCAAACCAAGGCCACTGAGTTGATTCCACCTCATAGAGATCCTATGTGGGATTTCTAAGCCTGTACATCTTTATGGGACCAGACAGTCTCATCTTTTCCCACGGAGTGGCTGGTGGGGTCGGTCCAGGAGTTAGGAAAAACTACTGTGGTCAATTTCTAGGGAATTCTTAGGAAATAGGAAAAAGAAATCCCACAATTTCCCAGCTAACTTCAAATAACATAGATCTGAAATATGTCTTATCAGCATTATATAGTTCCTTGTAGTATAGCTCATTAGTTCAGTTTAGGGGACAAC